CCTTATTTCTTGGAAAACACGTGTTAAGCCCGTCTCAAGGTCAAATTTTCATGTGAATCAATAAAGCATTTTTCTTGGCGGAAAAAATATACGCTTCTCTCAAAGGGAACTTTCCTTATTTCTTGGAAAACACGTGTTAAGCCCGTCTCAAGGTCAAATTTTCATGTGAATCAATAAAGCATTTTTCTTGGCGGAAAAAATAAGGGAAATTTCCTTATTCCTTATTCCTTATTTCAAATACGTCTCAAGGTCAGTTCTGTGAATAAATAAAGCATTCGAAATGCTTACACCGTACGACATTCTATACCAGTACCATGCACCTGCAAACGTTGATACGAACACCAATTCTTGACTGAATAAAAACTACTCTCTAGGGAGACTGCTGATGGTAATGCTATGTTAACGTAGTTGATTTCTAATGTTGCGTAAACATGATGAATATTGACATAGCTAATGACAGGGAAATTGCCCAGGAAGATTTTAATTCTTATATTATCAAGATTTAACCAAAGTTCTTTGCCTCAGTTAGCAATAAACAAACATGTTCAGTTACGAATCACTTTTACTGCGATTCCCAGTCGCAGGCGATCGACCAACTGAGACAAATCACAGACGAAAAATTGAGTTTTGGTGTAGTAGGCCAAAAATATGCAAAATTCAACCAGTATGAAACGACTCAAAACTGCGCCCACTGCCATGAAGAATAACATTTCAAAAGATAACAGTAAAAATGTTAGTGATATTCATTTATTATTACATCTGCAATTGCATATTTTATTCTGTGGTTTTTGTCATTTCTTGGAAAGTTTTAAGTAAGCGGCTGTGGGGGAGACTAGGTGGTTCCCCGTTCGTCGGGGTAATTTAACCAATGGTAAAAGCGAACATGATCACGTGGGAGCACTGCATAAAGCGCATAATAGTTTCGATTTGGGAACATTTAGACCAAAAAACTCGAGTTGATTGGAGCCAACAAAACCAGTTGAAGGTACGTAAGGAGTTAAGTTCTAACAGAAACCGTTGTCTGAAAACACTCTTCATATACATGTCTCTCTTTTTGTTAATATTGTTAGATGAATGCTAGTGGCCAAGCCTCACAACTTGCTATTGTAGTAACCGAGAAGGTCAAAGACATAAACCAAGCGCTGGTCAAAGTGAAAGAAGGTTTACATTCTGTCAAGGTATCGCAGATTGACGCTACTCAGGTTCAACGTGAAATAGAAGGCGAGCTGTTCGACAAATGGCACGAGGCTTGCGAGGTATTATACCGTAGATCGACACGAGTGAAAAACGTCTGTGCATGCTCTATGTCCGTATGCAAATTGACCAAAACCTCTTCATGCTATTGTAAAAATATATAAATTTGACTTTCAAACATGCCTGATAAATTGGACTTCACAAAATACCAAAACTTAGTGGCCATACTTGGACTTTAAGGCTAATTCTTTCATATTGTCTTTATTAATACATTTTCTTGGTCTCATAAAAGTATACTCGCGAAAAGTTTTCTATACTCAGAGTAAAAAAACATTTATTTTCTCTAACAAACTCTTCTAAATAGACCTCCTCGGCTCGGGTGTAATGTTTTCCCTTTTCAAACCACGTGTCATTCCCTGGAGTACCATTTCCTTCTCTAACGGCTGCACATGAGAGAACACTTGAATATGAATACAACTCAGACAAATGATCTTATTCTCAAGGGAATGACAAATGATGGTCTGAAATGGGAAAACATTACTCCCGAGCCGAAGAGGTCTATTCTTAGAAAACGTGATGAAAGGCACGCGCACAAACGTTTTTCTCTAGTGTTTTGTAGATCGTCTTTTAAGTTATGAGATTATGACGTATTTCCGGGTCCAACTGCTCACAAAAACAGTGAAAATAAAGCCAAAAATGTTCTCAATTATTTAACCTCCACCAAATAATTAATTGATTTTTCTGGACCAAAGTAGATATAAACTAAGAGTTCTGCGCCATCCGGATCCACAATTTTCGGAGTCGGCAAAGCCAGGCCCCAGACCACCCCACTTCTCCGCCACAATTGTTACTGACTGCTTTTAGCATGAATTCAGGATCGAATGAGTTACGGTCTCGTTTCTAAAATCCTTGTTGAATAACCATTTTGATGGGTTGTTACTTTATTGACCGCTAGATATTGTTTTGAAAATGTATAAATTCATAATTTCATTTTCAGTTTGCATGGGGTTGATCTTACTGTTATTGCAAGAAATGATCGAATGAATTAAAGAGGCTGTGAACTATTTTGATGGAATCGCCTTTCTTGGGTTGACAAGGTTAATCCCTTTTTTCAAATGTTCGTTTGTTTAAGCAGCGGGTGGTTTAAGAAAGTCGTATTTTGAATGAATTAGATATTGACAAACCTTCGTTCTCACACCGGCAAATGTTTTATTATTACGAGTGAGTAAAATTATAATCACATATCCGACATGGGCACCATCCCGCGAGAAACCACGTAGGACTCTTACCTAATGTCATATCACTTGACTCTACAGAATGCATTTTTTTTTTTTTTTTTTAATTATTATTTGTATATAATCGTGTTTTAAAACTGCTGCCACTTAGGTATTGACTGCGCCACAGCTCTTAATCTTTCCGAACGTCGTAGTAGTGGCTTCATTAGACCTTTGCAGCCTCATTAATTCTTTCTTTCATTCTGAAGGAAAAAATAAGTAAATAAAAAAGTCGGCCTATTCTTAATTCTTGAAAAGTTAATGCGTTTCATCGCTAAGTACGTGTACCATCGAATCGTTGTAAAAGAAAAGTTCCTAACTTTATATAAATAAAATTTTAAAGCCGTAAGAACTAATCTTTTTTATGCATTCCAGTTGCGCGATGGACTGAAAATCGGCCGCCAAAAGACAAAGATGAACGGCATCGCTTCGCATTTTTTACTGAAATTTTGTTGAGTGAACTATAAACAAAAAATCGCACGATCTTCTCATACAATTTGGAATTAATAGACACTCATAATGTTTTGAAAGTTCTTTAATTGCACTCGCCTAAAGGCTCGTGCAATTACAAGAACTTTCAAAACATTACTCGTGTCTATTAATTTCCAAATTGTACTCGAGATCGTGCGATTTCCTATACTAATAATTTTTCGTTAGGACCAGGAATCTATCTGTTCTTTCAGGTCATGGAAGCCAAGCAAATCAGCATCGAAAAGATCCCAAGTTTCCTTGATCGTCTTCGAGACGCATACGAAGGTATTGACGCGGACATGAGAAAGAAAATGAACGGAATCCATTGGTCAGCGGAATGGGCCTATAAGATCATAGAGTTCAAGTATAATGCTGCTAGCGATTCTGGTGCTAGGTATGGGATGATCGCGTTTGGGAAGACAAACGATGGCAAGTTCGTCGACTGCATGTACTGCCTGTACAAGCTTGACTTCAAGATAGCTCTAGAACGCATTGTCACAACCAAAGAGCATTCATGTTTTTGGGGACTGATTAAATGGCAGACAGTAGACGTACAAAATCGGGAAAGATTGTTAGGCGGGAAGTCGCTTAAACGAATCAAGAATTTCTACAGGTTCAAAGCATTGGAAGGGTTTTACCATGAGGGCCTGATTGACCGCATCAATGTTGTTCCATCCATTGAAGATGTGTCTGATTAAGAAAACGATTTCTGGTTAACGAATTTTAGACTGTAATAACTATATTGATTGATAGGTCCAGAGCCAGGTAGTGTAGTATTATAGCGAGGGAAGGCGTGATTTTTTTTGTAGAAAACATTAACATGTTTTCATAAGATGAGCTAGAATTGCATGCAACTCTTGGCCTTTATGAATATTTGTATCTGGTAGTGTGAAAAAGTTTTTTAATATCTCCGGTATTCTTTATATCAGGGACAAAGACTGTGATGAAGGGAAAAGGAAAGGAAAATAAATACGATTGTCTGCGCTACGGAGTTTTTTAGCCCCCCCCCCCCTCCCCACCTTTCCCCATTGGGTCTTAAATGTTTGCTTGATGAGGTCTCGAGTTCAAAACTGCAACCTCCATCGCACTACATAAGTAACTACATCTCACACGTAGTTAAGTTTTGACAAACTTAAATATAAATATAAGTTTATATTATAAGTATATATTATATAAGTTTTGACAAACTTTATTACAAATTATTTCTTTATTTTCAAGGTAAGTTAAGTTGAAAAACAGGGAAAAAAATTTTCATACCGTGTAATGTAAAAAAAACACTAGAATTTACAAACCCGTCACAGCAAACTTGGTGAGCTTCGTTTTTTCCCCAGCACTAGCTGTTATTCAGAGGAGTTTTACAAAAGTAAACTACTTGAAACAATATATCAGTATCCTTCATAAACTGATTTATCTTATGGATGAAAAAACTGAAGAAGGCACATGGCAGTTTACGTTTGGTTGAAAACAGACTTGAACCCAAATTAGAACAGCAAGAAAGCACTGCTCTCGCTGATATATGACCATAAAGTATATCGGACAATTCTCCTTACTGACATAACCAAAAACAAAACAAAACATGCAACAAAAACAAACAAACAAAATTTAAAAAGTATCAATTAGCTTTATTACTGTTTAGTAATTATTGACAGCTGAAAGGGAATTGACATATGATATCTGGTTGATAAATCCTTGATTTCTGAAAGATTCCAACGCTTTCAGCCGACAGAAATTTGCAATTTGATTCTTTGAAAAGTGCCCAAGACTTCGCGTACGATAAGAAACAGTAGTGGTGGTATCTATTGGTATGAAGCCAAACAAGTTAAACGTGTCTTCAGTAACCACTTTTTCCTGCGCGAGGGTAAAATCAAGCTTGTAGAGTGAGCTGATTGCGTCGACCTTTTGACCATCCGGGCTTTTGGCAAGGCAGATCATTCCAAAATAGACCTCTTCGTTGTCGATGTTGTCACCGAATGTAAACTCATAGATTTTGTGTGACCAAGATGACGACCATTGAATCGCTTGAATTCTGCTCCTGAAGTCGAAGCTGAATCCTGAATACTGATCCTCCACCTTGGAAATGAGTTCACCCAGGTTGTGTATAGATACACTTCTCGCTTCAGTCACGGTGCATTTTTCATTCCACGATGAGAAGTACTCGTTCTTAAGCCTTGTTGAAACGGATAGGGCTTCACTTCCACAGACTTTAACCCTTGAAAGAGCGTTTGACATGTTTTGTTGGGCGCTATTACCTTGGTGAGCGGTTCGCCAGTCGTCTGTCACGAGTTCGTGAAAGAAACGGGGATCCGTTGAAGGATCGCACACTAAAAAGACAGCAATAATATAAAGTTTAAGACAGGCATTTTTGCTGAAATTTTTAACAGGCATGTAACACTGTCAGAATCGTTTTCCGGTTGTCCCTTCTGCTGGACCAATAATTACAGTGTATTGAACATTTTGATTTGTGATTCCCAAAGGAGTTGCCGAGACCTTTGAAAAATGAACAAAATCATTTGAAAATCATTCTGGTAGTAGTGATATTAAGACAAATATGGGGAACTGGCAGAGAATTATGACCGATTGTACATCTTTCTCACTTCACATTAACTTTGTAACTCAGGAACTACAGCTAACTACGTAGACTTTCGCTGCGCTCGCAAGATTCGAGCGAAGCGAGAATCTAAAAAAACACCGGGAAACAAGAGAGGTCGACTTGGGGCAAGTCTACTAACTACGTAAGAATTTGAGTTTTTGAAAAAGAAAATCTTAGTTCTACCTACCACAGCTGTTGGTGATACTCCTCCTGGTTGAAGTCTCTGTATTTCCCATTCTTATGATAGTACTTTGTCCTGTTAAACAGCAAACACGTCAGTAACGAACGGATAGAAAGAACAAGAACGATTTGGAAATTGCTTGGGCAGACTTACTGCAGTTTTCATAAACATGCGAAGAGCTACACGCTAATGATTTGGTTTTTCGCTGCCGTCAAACTAACCTAATCGTCAGTACCTTTCATAGTTTTGACTGGCGGCAGCGGCGAAAAACCAAATTTCAGAGTGCACAACAAACTGTTAGTCAAAGGTGGAATTATTGGTTTTGTTTTGAAGGGTAATCCCGGAGTCCTTTGAGGATGAAACTTTCGTTTTATGGAACTCGATAACAGGATGTTCCTGGCGGTTAGATCTACAGAACTTTGTTAAGGGATTGGACAAGAGAAGTAAAATGAAATCCCAAATTGTAATCTGTAGAGTCCCAATTATAAAGTTGCTCAGTCAATTTTGTTGAGTGTATAAACAAAATATCGCATAATCTTCTCGTACAATTCGGAAATTATGGATACTAAAGGCTCGTCCAATTCTGAAAACTTTCAAAACATCACTCGTACCTATAAATTCCGAATTTTGATTTCCTATACTAATCAAAATAACAGCTTTCCTGCTAGCAGAGTCTCCTTCGTTGACGATTGCCAAGAGAGAGATTGCCAACGAGACTCTGCTAGCAGGGAAAATAATAGCCCGATGGAAGACAAGTTATACCGTTAATAAACGACTTTGATCAAGGCTTTTTAAAATTTAAGATATCCGATAATATCAATCCAGACTTAAAATTATTCATCGTGGGCCTTTCACCTTGACGCGATAAATACAAGGCGTCTTTTAATGTTCAAGGTAGCAAATTTGACATCGACTTTCGCTTGCGATTCTCGTTTCGTCAAGTCATAGTAAAAACCTTTTAGAATTGTTTGATTATTGTGCTTACCTTAGCAGCAATGAGACGATTATAACGGAAACCCCAAGCTAACTCTGCTACTAAATTAAAAGTGGCCTAACTGAGTTCCTGTATTTCGGAGAAAAATTTAGTATACTTGGATTCTCGTAATTTGAGGAAAATTTAAATGACTCGTTTCTTAGAATTTGTTGGGAGATGGACTGAGGGAGACTGCATGGGTATGTGGTCAATGTTTCCATAGAGAGGTCGAGAACTGGGTCGTCCCGAGAGGGGAGGGTTAGGATGGCTTGATTTTGGTATAGTTTAGGTAGTTTGGGGGTTAGGCAGTGTGGGGGTTAGGTAATTAGGGGTGCTAAGTTTGTACTTTTCCAACACTCTGCAACTATCGATTTAAAAAGAAGTTTTTTTTTCACAATTTTATTTTGAATTTCAAAATTAAATCAGTTTTAATACAGGTGTTAGAGGTTAATATTTGGCATATGTCGGGTTGTCGTGATCGATTGCTAGAGGTTACAGTAGCAATGTGATTGGTTCTCAAATGGAAGCTATTCTAATGTAACGGCATTTTTTGTTTGTCTTCCGCTCATGCGAAATCAGCTCTAAAGCAATAAAAGGAAAAAAATTCACAGAACAGTATAAATAATAACCCAAGGCTCCTAATAATTAAACTCGTCTTTAGAGGGTGTATACCCGCACCCCCTGGAACAAATCATCTCCCCTTCCCTCCCCCATCAGTCTAGATAGGACTTAATCTTAATAATTTAATTGCAGATTGGATTGCATAAACAACTATTGATATTTGTTTTTTGACGTCATCCCAGGTAGCTTCGCCGCGCCGAGCTCGTCGTATGGCTTGTCGTATCCCAGGTAATTTGTAAGCTCCGCTTGTTCTTGGGCTGCTCAACAGAACGTGTCTGGTAAACAGAAAACATTCAGGTATGAGTGAGGAACATGACAGGAACCTAATGCGCATGTCCAAAATAATTGGCGGGAAAATGGGAGCTGGAAAGTAGCTAACGCGTGTTTTTTTTCTGATTAACTATAGAGGTGTTAAAATGTTGACGTAAGTCAGCTAGGCATGTTCAATAGCCATCGATCGGCATTTATGATTCTTTATACACACTTATTTCAATAAAGTTAGTCACCAGAAAAGCTACAAAGCTTAGACCGTCAAGGATTATGGGTAGATACATTTTACATGTTTCAACCGCTTGATAACTGTTGATGGACTTGAGATCTTCTACCAGTTACAAGTTCACCTCCTCTGAGCATCCTCAACTGCTACAGTTTGTGTCAAAAGCTTTACTTGTTGGATATAAAACATTTCCCCATGATTCTCAACGATCACAGCTTTCTAGGTTTTTGGTGACTAACTTTATTGGAATAAGTATATACATCTACTTTGAAAAACGTTGTCGGTTGGAGATCTGAAATCTAAATCAATCTGAGGCAAAGTGACAAGCTTCAAATTTTGATATATTCACAGCCGAACAAGGTAATCTTCAAGGTTTTCTTTTAGATTGGTATATGAGATATGACCTTTCAGTTAGAAATTTGATTTTTCGTATTTTAGCCACATAAAACAACGAGAATGATTTTTAGTTTCTGGTCGCCCATTTCAGATCACGGACCGACAAAGTTGAAATAGTTCATGGCGTTTGTGCGTCGACGGACAACAACTCAATAGCGATTCAAAAACGACATGAAAAACATTGACACTCGTTTATTTGTGTACGAGTGTTGGGCTATCTGGGTTTACCTACGAATGGTGATGTCACTCATTATTGGCGTATCTCCGTCATCAATGAATGACTTCTCTAACGCCGTCAAACGATTGTTTATCAGACGAATATTCAGATAATCTGTTTTGCTTGTGTTGATGATGATGTCTTCAAACTGCTTTGCGGCGTCCTTGAAGTTCTGGATTTCTTTGTTGAGATATTCTTGAAAACAATATTGG